ATCATAACATGGATGTCCAATATCAAGGAAGTACACGGTAAACCAAGGCTGCATGTCTCTGTCAACCTATTATTTGGAGTATGGCTGCCATGTTGGGCAACTCTGCCATCGTCGTTGTACGTACGTGCCCACGAGCAATACCGCTAGCCATGATAACCATGAGAAAATCAACTCATGGGTTTCCTTTTCTTTCCTATACAAGTATGGGGCTCCGCTTGGCAGCCCTTTGGGCCGCCAGAGCTCCGCTATTAATTTTGACAACGAAATCTCACAATTTGCATTTGATTAAAACATGATAACTACATTTTATTGTGCCTGAATTCATGGAAAAGTTACAACAATAGATCAAAGAAGAAGGTGGAATTGAATTTGTTAAACTAGGTCCAAACAATGGAAGCAAAAAATTCGCAAGTGAGTCCATGCACTTAGATTGCACAAAACAAACACACAAACTAACAAGACTATGGTAAATTTCTACTTAAAAGAACATTAAGACTACTCGTTCTCATTTTCTGTGAGTGATAGTCAACTTGGCTGTGTCTCATTGACTATTTAACAATTAGATTATGAGCTTGAGATTTCTACGAGGTAATAGTTGATGAGGCTGAAGGTCTCATCAACTATCGCCTCATAGAAATCTCGAGCTCATAATCTAGCTGTTTTAGTAAAATTCTAACTGAAATTTCCTTTAAATAATGATTCCAATTATTTCTGGTTTACTATTAACTTCACGCTTAAGAGAATTCACGCGGACTCGAATGTATTGTCAATTTGACATTTGCAGTTGTGTACAGTCAACTCCCGTTATAGCGGACACCCTCGGGACCACGATTTGGTGTCCATAATAGCGAGAGTCTGTAATGGCGGGATGCGAGAAAATTTTTATATTATAATATTTGGACAGACTGGATGAACTTATTCATGGCAGTGAGACTGCAAAGAGGGCCTTAAGAGAAAAAGATAAAGGAATTTTGGTTGATGGACAGAAGAAGCAGAAATCGACCAAAACAGACAAAGACAATCTCAAAAAGCAGAAAAAATAGACTTAATATGTGTGCAAATATTCCAAGATGCTGCTTGGTGTCCGCTATAACGAGAGAGAAAACAATAATTGTGACGTTGGGACCAAATAAAGTGTCCGTAAGTCCGTAATATTGAGAGTCCGTAATAGCGGGAGTTTGTGTCAGTCAAACGTCTGTAACTTTCACTGGGGATTTAGCTGCTGTTTGTAATAGTGGAGTGTCCGTAATAGTGAGTTGTCCGCAAGGCGGGAGTTGACTGTACTCACTTATCAGTTTCTTTGAAAACTTTTGAGCTTTTTTAATTCAAGAAGCCCTAAATGCCCACCGCTTAGTCTTCTAGGGAATTTTGTTTATTCATTTGTTTCTAAATGTTCTTTCAAAACTTCGGAGAAATGAGGAAATGTTGCAATTTTGTCGACCACACCAAGCCACTGTATATTAATTAACAATTAGATTATAAGCTTGAGATTTCTATGAGGTGATAGTTGATGAGGCCAAAGGCCGAATCAACTATGACCACATAGAAATCGAGAGCAAATAAACTAATTGTTTTAGTAGAATTCTAAATGAACCTGGTCTTAGTATTAAACTTCACACTTAAGAGAATTAGTACAGACTGAATTGTCAATTTGCCATTTCCAGTTGTGTGCGCACACTTATCGGTTTCTTTCAAAAAATTCAACTTTTTTTAAATTCAAGAAACCGTGAATGTCCTTCTCTTAGTCTCCTCAGGAATAGAATTATTCATTTGCTTCTAAATGTTCTTTCGAAACTTCGGATAAACATGAAAACGTTGACATTTTGTCGACCACACCAAGCAACTGCACACTAATGGCTGATAGTGTGCAATGGCTCAGCCAATCAGATTGCAGTATTTGCATTAGTATACCAGTAGAATTCTACTAATGGCGCAATGGCGTGCAGTGAAATTATTTGAAACCCTCATTTCAAGTATATTTCAGGTAGAATTCTATTAAAACAATTAAATTATTTGCTCTTGATTTGCTCTCAAGGTGATAGTTGATACTCTCATAGAGAGTATGCAAACTGGGCAAATGCCTACAGGAAATTTGGAACAGCCAGTCCACAATTTTCCAGAAATATATAAAAGCAGATCCTAACGTTTTTCTGGAGGATAGGCAATCAAGAACAGGCTTGAACTGTAGCAGATTGTTTTGCATCCTGTGTAGTGCGAACTCGCTGCCATCTTGTAGCCTTGGTTGAGGCAAAATTCATGACTAGAGGAACTAGAGCCGATTCATAGCAGGTGGAAATGCCAAATGGAACAGAAAATTTCTGGATTTCCAAATTCCTGGGAAAAAGGACAACCTCGAGAGGTTGACTGAAATTTTTGAAATGAACTTCAGGAAACTTTCTTTTCCTTTTGATTTTGAACCGGAATTTCCGAAATTTTGGTTGAATGGAATGTGCCTTAAAGCTTTAGCTTTTTTCCACAGCAAAAATTTTACACTGACTCTAGTTTCATTTGAGTTTAAAATTAAAGCAGTTTTAAATCCTTTTTCAGTGCTTTCCATGGTCTGCAGAGGACAAAGTCAGCTGCGCTTGGGTTGTTAAAAAAAAAACAGGGAAAAGATTTATATCAAGTTAACATTAAGCTTATCAGAAATTTATAGTTTAATCTCAATGCATGCATGTATGCATAACATGATGACTGAATTTATGCAGGTCAATGTTTAAAGACGGAGTCAAGAAAAACGTTGTTTCACCAGTCTTGAAACTCTCTCTTGTATTAACTGAGGATCCTGCTTTTTGTAATAGGTGCTTAGGGATTGCTGAAACAACCTGGAAATAACTTAGAAAGTTAGATTGACGTTGAATTTGTTTTGAAATGCACTAAATGTTAACGGTTTGCCATCACTATCCAGGACGTCTTGGATAAGAACAACTCCTTTTTCTTTCCATTTTGGTAAGAAAAACCTTTTTCCATTGATTAGAATATCCTTATTGTTAAAGAGAATCAAATCCTGACCATTGTTACATTTATACAGGTTCCTTATAGCAAGAAAATTGGTCATTATTTGTCTATAAAATAGTGGAATTCCAGATTTCTCCAAAAATTTGGAGTCATACAGTGCAGTTACAGCTAAGAAGAAAATTCAGTCCACTGTATTTCTGGAAGAAATTAAGTTGGAATGGATTTCCAAGGTTCTATGGAAGTTTCCTCAGATATTAATAGCTTGATTAATAGTTTCCAGGCCAGCCGTAAAGATTTGAAAAGAAAGTTTGGATCAGGAGCTTGCAATCCTCCATTGACATAGTCTTGACACATGACATCTCTCTTAACTTTGTCCTGTTTCTTATTCCAAATGAA